TCTCTAGAAACTGTTTCCAACCTTGATCCTCATTTGAAGGAGAAAAGCTTTCTGGTGATAAAAATAATTATATTTTGGGGAGAAGTTTTCAAGTATATAAGCCCCAGAAATAGCAGACTTCAGTAATATATTTAACAGTTTGAAAATATTTTATCTTCATGTGTGTAAGCTGCACTTCAGATAAGATGGATTCTTGGAGAGTCTTATTTCTTGGAAAAGAAAAAGCCTTAAGTCTTTATCTCTAGAAAATACCCTGCAATCCTGTTTGAGCAAATGCATTATATGGGGCGTGGAAACGGAACATAAAGGACAACAAGATTTGGTGGCTGTAATTCTTAATGTATTTTGGGTCTACAACATACTGTAGGCAGCTTAATCATAGTTTGTTGTCTGTTTTCATACATACATACATATATATATATATATCTCAAATGAGTTATGCAGGTAAAAGTATGATTTGTGGGTTTTACAGCCACTTAGCTGATCAGCAAACTTTAATCCCATAAGTAACAAAAATACATGAAAATATTCCTACTGTGGAGTTGTCACATATGCTTTATCTTGTTGTTGTTTTTGTTTTTGTTTTTTTTTTCTGAAACACCAAAGCAAAAGAAAAGATGCTATTGTTCCCAAAACTATGAACGGATGGTTAAAATACAGTTAGCTGATCAGGCCTCTGCTGTCTTTGCATAAAGCCCTTAAGTAGCTAGTCGTTGTGTCACCGCACAATCTTTATGGTTGTAGGAGTTTATAGGGAACCTAAGAGAGCTTTGCCTGTCTTTTGCTGCTTTGCTCATCAGTGCTTTCACGCCTGCTGATTAAGGGCTCATAAATCTTGGTGATATTAGTGGAGGAGCCTGTTTACATACCCAATGTCAACCTCTTCTTCCCTCCCTCTTAACCCGCGCAGGGCGGCTGCTTGTGCACAGCGCTGCTGCAGCCGCTACCGATCCCGCGCGCCGCGCGCGCTCCTTGGGGAAACCCGGGCCCCGGCTGCCGGCCGAGGGGAGCCATGACTCTGGAGGTCGCCTCACCTGGCAAGTCAGGAGCCTGGAGTTAATGGGTCTGAAATGATTACCCTGGAGCAAAATGGATGTAAACAGTCTCCTCTCGATTTGGAGTATACGGGCCTGGAGTCCTTTCATCTTCCCTTGCACATTCCAGATGTTGGCTTCGCCCCATGCCTCACGTATACACGATAGACTAGATAATGCACTGCCGTCAAATTTATGTCTAGCACATGATGTGTTTGTATTCTGCTTCATTACACCTTCTCCCTCTTATTTGGGACAGGAGAAGTATCTTAAAAGCCTTTTTTTAATTCAGGTTTGATTTGTTTATTCAGTGCTTCTCAAAAGCAGTCTGGTTAAAGTCCTTCAGCCCCTCATTTCCTCTGCAGTTCTGCTGCAATATATCTCATTTCAGTCAAGGATGACTCTGTGCTCTAGCAATTTACTCCCTCAGCTGCTTTGAGAAAGTTCCAGAAGGCAGACTGGACCATTTTCATTTTGAAGAAGATTGTTTAAAAAATGAAACTAAAAAAAGCATTTAATTCACACAATAAGTTATACTGAATATCAGGTTTACATTGATAAATTTTCCCCAGGTGATATTCTAATGTGCATTCACTGATAAATACTTAGAATATCTTAGATTTATTAATAGATAATGTTGTACTTACCTTTCACTGAATATCATTAGCCCTTAATCTCTGTTGAGAGTTTTCCTTTTTTGAGTCCGAGCTGAAGTTCACTGAATCTAGACTACTGTTAATTCCCCAGTATGGGAACAATTTTTTTTCACATGTCCTGTCTTTTTCCCAAATGACCGTGTTAGACCTACCAATAAATCTCAGAACTTGTACACCACGGTTATTACTCCTTTTGTCTGTTTTTCCAATATTGTTTGATCATGAGTGAAACCAGAGTAGATTTCTTTCTCAAGGATACTGTGAGCGTACTTTCCAAAAGTTGGTGCAAGCTCAGAATTTCTGCCAATGTGCCAATAAATACACCCTGAGCTGGAGCTTCATTACCAACTGAAAGAGTCATTGCAGATATAATCCTGCTCAGTGGTTTGTATTTTTATATCTTTTGTTTCTCGTTGAATAGAGAGTCACCTATGGTCCAATAAAGTAGTTTCTTGTCGTCGTATTTGTGGGAAAAAAAAAAAAAAAAAAAGAAATAAGGTGTTTTTCTCTCAGCCTCTTGACTCTGTACTGTGTTTTGATTTGGTGCTAATGTCTCTCACTTCCACATCCTTCCATTCCTTCCTTCCCTTGCCCGGCTCCTGCACTCCCTACTCCGGACACCTTTGGTGAGGAAAGCTGACACCTTTTCTGTTTGGTAGCATAAAACTTGGATCTGTGGACCTTGGCGTACAAATTAACTTACTTCCTGGGCACTGAGAATGGCATGCAAGCTCCCCTAGTGTAGACTTAGTTTATCTGAGCTGTGAATAAACTTTGTTTTAGTTCTACTTAAGGGGTTTGTTCTTTTTAGGAAAGGTGAGTTTCACAAACCTTGAAAAATGAAAGCTCACTTGACGTCCTTTGTGTGAAAAACAACTGTCTGGGAGGGAGAGGTTGTGTGGCTCTCCTTGATACTCAAGAATAAATATTCTCAGGGGTCCGCTATATCTGCTCCTGCCTCTCAGAGTGGCTGCAGGCTGCTTCTCATCCCATCATACTGGGGGAGCTGAAGGTAGTTTATCATTCAGTGTGGGCTGGCTTACATGCATGCACGTTTAGTTCTGGGCTTACTTCTGGTGCTTGATTTTAAGTTGAGCACCTCAAGTTTGGGTGGGCCAAACCTGAGATGCAGCTTTGATCAACAGAAGGCATTTTGTGGGGGTCCTTTTCTTGTTGAATTTTTTTTCTGCGGAGTCCAGTCGTTGTAAAATATTGTACTGGAACCTTGCATTAAGAATTTGGGGAATGCTTGCTGCACAAATTTACTTGAAATAAATAGCTGGAGATTTAGAGCTCAGACATCTCAATGATGACACCTGGGAAGGACTCTGCAATGGCCATTGCTCAAGACAGGGCTGCCAGATGTCCACGTGCCTTTGCCCCACGCACTTCCTGCATGTCAGGACATGCTCTGTAGGTTGGCGGCTCTTTAGACTAGGACTTTGGCCGAAGATACAACAGACTTTTCCTCTATATAAAGAAAAACACAACACATGCAAAAAAGAAAACAGCAAGCATAAGAATTAATGTTGAGTGTAGAGCAGTGGATTTCATCTTGCTTATTTTGTCTGTTTTATCTAATATTTCTGGAAATACGAGCAGGGGGGTTGGACTAGATGGCCTCTGAGGTCCCTTCCAACCTTAAGCATTCTATGATTCTATGAAAGTTGGGGGGAATTTTGTATGCTTTCTTTTTATATAGAGGATAAATAATTGTATTGTGTGTATATGAATGAATAAAGTATATTTAAATTGTCTTTAAAAATTATATTTTCACTTTCTCCTATATTCTTGAAACTATTTCTTCCATAGTTTCTAAATGTCTTGTGAGTTATCAATTCGCCTTGCAGTTTTCAAATATCCTATTTCATCAGCTTTTCAGAATTTTATGATGTAATTCTAATGAAAGAAATAAATTTCTAAGAAATAAAATGTCAGGCTGAAGGAAATTTGCGATCAGTGAATGGTCAGATTAAAAAGGCTTATTTTAGTTAGCTTGTCTGTTTTATAAGTTAGTGTATGTGGCAGTGTATAAGTGTATGTGAATTAGTGTAAAAAACAAAGCTATTTATTTCATGTATTTCTACTAGATATAGGCATATCTTGGCTATGCAGAACTGCAATTCAAGAAACCTGAAATTTCTCTCTCTAGCATGTTTCTGGGGTGAAAATATATACAAACAGTCAAGGGATTCAACAAATACGATGATTTTGTTTGAAGAGTAGTGCTGTTTCATTAATATTTTAAATTATTTGCATGCTTCATTTGTGTAGCCGATTCATTAAGTGCTGTTTAATCAAGTTTTTAATACCGTTCTGTCTATATGAGCAATGTGTAAAGTGAGACGGGAGCCTTCAGACCCCAAGCTGTCCATTCTCTGTGCATGGCAGTGTGCATTTAGATCTGAGCAATGCCCTGTGTTCTCTGGTATATGATACTGTTTCAACTGATTGCCCTGAATAAAGAACTGGTCAAAAAGGGAATTACTTTAAGAGTTTTACTGCTATCAAGTTAATAGCCTTGGTCCTTTTTGCTCTTTCATTAGTGAGACCAGCAGTAAGAGCTCTGAGCTCTTAGTGCTGTTACTAATTATCAATATATTTGTGATATTTTCTTTTCCGGGTTCTGTTGTATTTGGTTTATATTGTAGAACAGATTCTTAAGTCTCTGCTTTATGTAGCTTGGTAAAAGTAAATATGGAACTAGCAATACCAAATGTACACAGCTCATGTAATTTAAAATTGCACTGACATTGTAAATGAGGGATAGGTCACTTGTGTGCAAGGCCAACTCAATTCATACTGCTGTAAATTCTGTGTTAAATCCTAGACAGGACTGCTCTAAGTTAACATTTAATGCATGTTGACTTCTTAAACACCTCCTGTAATTGGCTGGTATTTTTACATTAAGGAAAAATGCTAGTAATTGAATTTAAAAAATAGAAAGAAAAGCTCACTTAAATATAGGAAATAGTTTTGGAAAGGAAATAAGCTTTTTATGAAATTATAGTATCAAATAGAAAGTCTGTACGCTTTTATAAAGAAAAATAAATGAGTTTGGGCGTTTTACAAATGCTAATCTTCCATAATTGACTTAGAGGTAAAAGGTAAAGGTGAATGTTTTTCTTGCCTTGCATAGATGCATTTCATTATGATTTTGAAATGTCCTCTTTTACATCTTCCAGAAAAAAAAAAAAGATGCTTAAGTCATATGAAAAGATGAAGGCCTGTGCTTGCTTTTACATTACAATATATCCTGTTGCCTTGTCTTTCATAACTGTAATGCAGCTTTCTGTCTCTTTTGTGGCAGGATGACAAGGACTTGGTTCATGAGTTTGTGGTGGCGGAAGGTCTGACTTGCTTGATCAAGGTGGGAGCAGAAGCAGACCAGAATTATCAGAACTACATCTTGAGAGGTAAAAATGGTCTAAAAGCTCTTTTTATTGCTCTGAGACTCTTTCTTAGGTTTGCTGCAATTGCCACATCCAGTATCTGTAACTTTTTTTCAAATTGCTCCACATTCTTGCCTTTTATTTGGGAAATTCAAGAGCAGGGGAGTTAATGTTCATCATGGAGCAGGATGACTACATACAGTTCTCACTCAAGGAGATGCATACAAGGAAACACAAGCTGGAAACTGGGAGAGCTGCTACAGTATTTTGAAGAACTTAGTAATAAGGGGAGAAGAGTCTTACAAAGGGATCTTTACTGCTGCATGATCTCACAGTAAACAGAGACAGTCACAAGTGCATAATTGTGGTGGATTGCTCATCTGAGTTTTCTCAGACTGATATATGTAAGTATCTTTTAAAAATGTCAGTTTGATATATTTAGCTGCCAAAACTCTATCTATAAATTAAGGAACCGAAATATATAAGTAGAAATAATATAAAAATGAGGAGGATTGTTTAGATAACTTGATTCTAAGTTTTTGAGGATTTGAGTGGAACTTAAAGAAACAAAGATTAGATCTGTGCAAATACCAGCTTAAGATGTGTGGAAAATCAAACTGCTACACAAATTATTTTCTATGCCCCTAGCAGTGGTATAGAGCAGTGATAAAAACTTACTTGGATGGTAGCTTGCATATTACTCAGACTATGAACCACAATAGAGCTAGACAAATGTAAAAAACTGAAGGAGAAAAGATTCTCTCCATGAAGGTGAAAAGAAAAGGCTTCTAGGAGGCAATTAGCCATAGATGTTCCCAGAAGATTTGGACTAGAGTCAAATTAAAGGTGCTGTATTGGGTAGGTTGGCCTTCAGTCCAGTGCTTGACTCATGTGCCAGCTCAGCATTGATCTCCCACAGCTGGATTATGCTCTTCTCCCTTCAGCCGATTATGCAGCCAAATAATGCAGTTTCAAAACGAGGAAACCTAATAGGCATTTACAGTACCTGAGTGTCCAGATGGCCTTGTAATGGTAATGTAGAATAGCCCTGCAATTCATCTTTGTCAGGATCAGATCTAGGGTATAGAGCCTCAGAGCTGACAGAATGATCTACTAATATCAGAGAAGTCGGTCACATCCGAGTGATCTTAGCCCAGTATTATATCTATCTTCAGCTTACTGAGAGCTCATTTGACATGTGGGAACGGATTAAGAAGAACTGAAACTTCTCTTTTCATCTGTGTATTACTAGAGACAGTGCAGCCAAAATCCAGGGAGGATCTCTACAGTCCCTTTCCTGGTGTCTGGCTTCTGTAGCTCTCCTGTGCTTAAGAGCTTGAATCTATGTCTGCCGAAGTTGTTGAGTTTCCACTGAATTCAGTGACAGAAACAGCAGAGTCTTGGTGCTAAAGTCCATGGCATTGCACCAAGGAAACTGTGACCTTGGCTGTTGCATTGGTATTAGCAAGTATTTGCTGTTCCTGCTTAAAAAAAAAAAAAAAAAAAAAGGAAAAAAAAAAAAAGAGCCTTGATACCACCTTAAGTGAGAGCTTTTGTTTGTTTTTATTTTGGGTTTTTTTTTTCTGTTTTGTTCATGAAGTTCCCCTCTGTATTGACATATTTTTGCAGATTTTTTTTTTCTGTGTGATATGGTTTTATTTTAGAAATGAAATTTATGTCTTAATTGTCTTTCAGGAAATTCAAAGCTTGTTTCAGCTCCATGTTTTTGTCAGATCATTTTCAGTTCCAGAAACCAGTGTGAACTTTCTGAATAGTTCTTCATGTGCAGTGAGATAAAGAGAGGGTTGGAAGTACAGTGTAGCCAGTCTTATCCAAATATATTGAGGAGACTGCTGAAAAGAAACATTAAATACATTGTGTAAGAATCTTTTTTCTGGTATGTTGTTTTCAGAAGACTATAGTGAATGGCTGATTTTTTTTGTGTGTGCCATTTTTTTTGTGTTATTGCAGTGCTGCATTTGACTAAGCAGAGTGCACTGGGTGCCTGTAGGTATGTAAATATCACCAAAAATGCATCCCAGTTAACACTGAGATGGTCTCTTAAGCTCTGAATGTCTAAAGTTACAGAGATAAAATAACATAAGGAGCCCTTGTCTGCAGTTTCTGAGCCTTGCAGCTGTGGTGTCCTTGTCTGGAGTCCCTTTTGGCGTGGAACATATCCTCCTTACTTTCATTGGACTTAACCTGAACAAAAAAGGGATGTGAAATTTCCTTCACTCCTTATTCTAACTGAATTTCTCTTATGACTTTCATTTAATCCTCAGTTCCCCATCATGACCCAAACACAGCTTGCAGCGCTTATGGTAAACGGCAACCTTAGTTTGTGCAGGCCCAGCATGAAATGGAGGAGGAGTGAAGTGCTCAGGCGTGAGGCTGCTGGTGCTGTGCTGTGAGGAGCTCTTGGGGGTTCAGGCCCTCGGTGTGCAGAGAGAAGACTTCCAAAGGATAATCTGTCATCTCTGCAGAGCTTATTGGGATGCTTGAACCCATAACTGCTGTTTTGTGGATTCACAACGGTGTTAAGGGTTGTCCAGAATTAGATAAAAGCTAGAAAGTTCATTCCTGTAGTCTAAAAACCCAAGTGAGGTTTTTAGACCTCACCTTCCAAAAGGAAGAGAGGCCTTGGTCATACTACAATGGAAAATGTTAGGGAACTAAGGCCAAGGAAGAAATGGGGCCAGCAGGCAGTACATATCCGACAGCATCTTTGAGGGAATTCTGCCTTCAGACACAGTGTTCGGAGTGAGAGAGAGTTACTCCTGCCGCAAAGCAATTCTAAATCCATGCCTGGGGTATTTTTAACTATACAGTAAAAATGTAGCTAGCAAAGTCAGAAGGACAAGGTGAAGAGGAATTCTCTGTGATAAAAGATATGTGTTGTAAAGCAGAATTATTTTGCTATTCAGCTTCAAAGTTAGTGATCTGTTTGTGGAGTTTAAACACAAACGCTCCAGAGTCGGTCAGACTTGGTCACAGATATCCATCCAGATAGGATGCTGAAGTGAGTCAGCAGCTGAAGTGAGTCAGGTAGCTGAAGTGACAGACAAAAGGAGCTCAGTCGCAGGCATGTCACTAAAGCCACCGACAATTAGGCCTATTTATAAAGCTCGCGGCATGTGTTTCACCTGCGCGCCAACTGCACAGCGAGCGGCTGTGCTGCACGTTCTAGGAAAGCCGATTAAATTCCTGAAACAACTCAGTCCTATGAGGTGTAAAGGCTGTCTGGTTCCTTTCTGTGACACCGAGTGCTCAAAGATGTCCAGAAGCGAGAGGAAGCGGAAAGCGCGGGTGAAGTTTTGCAAGCAGAGGGTGGAAGCTGCTGATTATAACTTCATGGTTGGTTTTTAGAACAAGGGGGTTATCAGGAAACTGGTGGTATTTCTGCATCAAGCCAACTACTACTTGAAATGCTTGGGGTTTATAGTTCTGGTCTTTGTAACTGGGAGTTGATGCATTTCCAAGAATCAGCTGACTGTTTTTACCTAAGAGATCCCTCATTATCACAGGGACAAGGGTACTTTCAGTGTCCTTGAATTTTCCTCCCTTATCCTGATAGATTATATGGTCTTAGTCTTTTGCATTAAAGGTTAAGTATTATATAGAGTTTAGGATGTACAATAGGCATGGTTTGTATAAATATCAAAAGAAGAGAGGCAAAATCAGCAAGAATGTGTATATATCTCAGAAAGTCACATCTTGCTAAATTGGTTTTGCAGCAGAGAAACAGATAGTGGAAATTAAAGTTTATTAGTGAAAATTGAGATAATACTATCTCATACATACCTTTGTATTATTCCTGATTCAGGAGGACAGCATAGAGTATTCTAACTGCAGAAAGATATGCTAGCAACTTCAGACTCTACACAAGAACCACGAGTAAACAGAAGTATGTGATTAGGCTTACCTTTTTTTTTTTTTTTTTCTTTTACTAGAAATAAAAAAAAGTTTCCTGATGCTCTTCTGTTGTCCTTCAGTGTTCAGGTATCTCTGTGTACCTGCGGAGGATTTGTATGCATCTTTAACCCTCAATTTGACCTGTCATGCATTTCTTTAAAAATTACATAAGCTTAATCAGTTGATCTCAAAATAGCCATTGTAAGGCTGTATGCCCCACAGCAAGTACCTAACCTTGATCACTGAAGAATATTGCTTCAAAGAGGGGCTTGATGGTTCAATTACTGTAAATTAAATTCCTTGATCTCTCTGCTGACTCTTAAAAATGATACCAGAGCTACAGCCTTGTCCAGTTGACCAATGTCACTCGCTCATTTTATATGGACATCAGGCTGCAGTTGTGTGAAACCATTTTAATGGCTGGCACATTCCCTGGAAGCTGGTGTGGCCACAGCAGCTCTGCATGGAGTCCTTAAAAGGGACTGTATTGCAGTAGCTTACCATCCTAATGAGACCTGTTAATCAACAGCACTGCTGAGCAGCAGTGAGGCATCACCGGGCTGTGGTCAGGCTCTTCCCTTCTGTAAAAGGAGCACGCTTTCCACTGGCATGATTTGCAGGTGCCAGTTGTAATTTGTATCAAAGGGAACAGACTCTGAAAAATCAGACTTGGGCCTGCTATGTGCTTGCAGAAGCCTCAAGATACTGCTCTTCTTGTGTCCTGCAAATCGATAGAATAAAAATGTGTGGAGCTGACATCCTGTTTTGTGAATGCGTTAGTATGGGAATGACAGTGTGATTGCAGTGTTCTTGGTTTTCCAGGAAAGAGGGCATGTCTTAGCACCTCCATGACTGGCAATATAAACAGTGGATTTCTTGTCCTAGTAGCTGAATCCTCTTTCATCTCTGTAAATCTCTCTTCTAAACACATTTGTTTGCTTGTTCAAAGATAGTTGGAGATTTTCAAATATTGAAATATTAATATTTTCAAATATAAAAAATATAAAAATATTAATATTTTCAAATTATGTTCATTAGAATTGAGTTATGCATGTATTGTGCTTACAGCTTCCTACCAAACACAGTCTTAAATGTTCTTTGAGCTGGTG